CGTCACACCAAAAATATGATTTTATGTATTTCTCATAATACCAGAAAATGAAATAATTTGCAACTTTTAACTGTATTAGAATGATAAACAACAATAAAACTTATCAATGTATTAAAAAACGTTGCTAGGTAAATCCCATATAGCTGGTTTTAAACAAAGCACTGATTGCGATGAACTTGTATATATGACGTCATTTTGGTAAACATGACGTATTTCATGTACTGTGAGAGGCAGATTGAGGAATTTTTTAACAATGAAAAATGCGTTTTATAATAAAATGGAATATTATTTACAGGTTTTAAATAGTCGATTAATAAAAATGTAGATCCTTTGTTTAGTGCGATTATTCATTAACTTTCCAGAGAATGTATTTTATTAATTATGTCGTGTTTTTATGTACAGATTACGTATATTTTACATCGAGATGCACCATAAAATCGTACTTTCGCAAGGGCATACACTGCATAGATCTTAATCATTTTTTGAATATAGATAAGGGATATTATCCTTAACTTGAAAAGTGCTGCTGCTTTCTTTGAATTGAGGGCGTGATTTCATAAGTACACAAAATATTTGGTAAAAGTCTAATATTTTTTGACATTGACCTGTTAACTTGAAAATTTAACTATCAAAACGCGAATTCCTTTCAAAGCAGCAGCACTTTTCAGAAACTACAAAGTATACAGAAACAATTAAAAGCTTGAATTTTTAATTTCAACTAATGTATGCCCTTGCGATATTGAAATTTGTTTTTGACCTACATTCAGTATACGTACTATGCATTCATCACGTGACTGTCCATCGATGGGACTAAACTTCATACAGTACACAGTGGGTTATACTATGCTATTTCCATAGGTATTTAAGTTTTTTGATAATAAAACAACATAATTGATATAAATTCAATTTAAAATAAAATCCCCCTTTTTGCACATATATTTTCCGTTGATTTCTCATAGTAGGCCTTAACAGTGCTGCGAACTCAAATGGTGAACGAGACCTAATACCAGTCATCATGTGTCTTCCTTCCAAGGTACGTTGTCCAGGTTATGCCCTCAAAGAGGTCAGATGCGGTGTCATGGGTTTATGCTTAATTCCTGCCTTGTCCAAAGGTGTCTGTGGATAACCCAGTGGCAAGTTTGGTATGTTTACGGGTCTTTGTCTATCTAGCTCTTTTCGTAGTTCAAAAATTTGAGTCTCTTTTTCCTTTAGGGCCAAGTTTTTACTATGAAGCTCCTCTGCCTGCATTTGCATTCTGCTCTGCTGCATATTTAACCTGTGGTGCAGATTCTCCTTTTCAAAATAACAGGCTTCAAATTTCTGGTTGGTATGTCTTAGTTCGCGACTAAGATCTTCATTACCTGCAGCTTTACTTGGTCGTCCGTTATTGTCGTCTAATTCAATGCGGCCTTCATTGATCCACTGCTGCCATACTCCTTCCTTGATTGTTGCATAAGCCAGTAGTTGAATGAAAATAGGAAAATTCAGCATATCTCGTAATTGGATGATAGCTTGAGCTCTCTTTTCTCCAATGTTCTCTAAAGTTTGAAGCTCTTCCTCAGTAGCCGTTTGAATATTTACGTGCATGTTCAATGTTTGTGATATTTATTGAAAAACAGCAGTACAAACTTTTAATGTTGGACAATAGATAGAAAGAAAGAAAGTAGAAAGGTTTAGCAGTTTAATTATGGCAAAAAACCATACAGCAATTGCTAGGGAGCAATTGGTAAGGTAAACAGTATTTGCTGTTTGATGAAATCAAAAATTAACACAGGTGTTAGTTATATGCAAAGCAATTTGAATGAACCTTTATTTTATTCCTTTCTAAAAAAAAAATTACAATTGTACTGCAATGCGCGTCCACCCTAAGGTATGGGGGAGGGGGTATTAAAACTTTTTTTTGTATGCTTTTTTTTCTACAATTTTGTTGTTTATATGGAAACAGGACTTAAAAATGGAACAGCTATTAACCCTGGTGTATTTGGATGACAATTATTACCTACTTAAAATAACAAGTATAACTCTAAGCCTATGCAGAACTTAGCTTCCCTAACATTCTGAGGAAATTCGAACGAACAATAAATTTTGTAAATTAATCCTTATCTCCCGAAAATAACTCTATATGTGAATTAGCCTATCCAATAAACTAGTACAAATTAAAATATTAGGTTCTGAATCGTTATCTAAAGTAAAATTGAGTTTGATATTTTTCAGAAGCACATGGCCGGATGTTTCGCGCCGTTTATCCTCGTCGCCAATGTTGTAATGACATTTATTACATAAACAATGCAGTTAACAAATACACAAATATACAGAGATAACGAGCGCACACAGCAGCAAGTTATTATATATGTGAGGCGCACACAGCAGCACCTGACCGCACACAGCAGGTCGAAATAGTTCACAAAAGTTACCAGTGGTTTCTTACGCAGAATGGCGTCTTCTTATACTGCCTACACACGAAAGCGTGACGTCATACGCACACATACACAAAAGGGGTACAACACGGGAATACATATAGGGGCTCGGCACAGGATACAAATTGTACTACAAAGGTACAAAAGTAATAAACATAATTGTACTTCAAAATGAAGCTTATCATTTTTTTGTATTTTTTTCTGAAGCTAAAAAATGCCTGATACTGAACAATTTTTAATATATTATGTCTCAAGACATGACCCTGGGGCAAAGAGCGTGGTCTAAAGGTCACGTCAAAGTTGAAAAGAATTACAATGAATAAAAACATTTAAAATTTGCTTCCTATAAAGACTAGGATCATCAAATTTTGTATGTTGATGCAGCATAGGACTTTACATCATGTAAACACAAAAGTAGGTCACAGTAACCTACTTCACAAATTTTAAGGGCTTTTGTTTTCAAATTGGTTTGGAGCCATATTTTTTTTACACTCTAAGGCCTATGATCATCAAACTTTGTCAGTTGATGCATATTGGGTCTCAAACAACGTCAACTTAAACATAGGTCACCTTGACCTATTTTTTGAATTTTATTGCTAATCTCTTTTAAACCATTCCATCCATTAATTCAGACACTGAGAGGTTAAGAATCACAAAATATTGCACGTTGATGCATCTTAGGACCTTTAAACATATTTATAAAAAAGTAGGTCGCTATGACCCACTTTCTGAATTTTGCAGGCATTTGTTTTCAAATTATTTAAAAGGCATATTTTGAGTACTTTCAGACCTATGATCATGTGGATGACCTACTTTCAATTATCTCAGGTAATTATTGGCTTAAAAATCTTCAAACTTTGTCAGTTGATGCACCTTGGGTCCTCAGAAATGTCAACCGAAAAGTAGGTCATCGTGACCTACTTTTGACATTTTATATTTTAATATGTTAGGTCAGTTGATTTATTTTAGGTATTCGGAGGATATTGACTTAAGGTAGGCCACTGTGACCTAGTTTTGAATTTCTATGGCTATATTCAAGTATTCCGGGTAATTATTGGCTTAGAATTTTTAAACTTTGTCAGTTTAGGCATCCTCGGTTTTTGAAAAATGTCGACCAAAAAGTAGGTCAGGATTGCCTACTTTTAATTATCTCATTTTTTTATTGGCTTAGAATCATCAAACTTCGTCAGTTGATGCATCTTGAGTACTCAGAAAACTTCAATAAAAAAGTAGGTCATCACGACCTATTTATGGTATTTTATAGGTATACTGAAATATCTTTAGTCCTACCTGACTAAGAATCACCAAAATTTGTCAGTTCATGCATCTTGGGATACTTAAAGTTAAAGGCTTCAAATAAAAGTGATAGATTGTACAATTTATCAGAAGAGTGATTCAAGGCCATTGGGTCTCTTGTATTAATTATTGTACCATCCAAAGCACAGTTATATTTGCTGTGCAAAATCTCCATTGGTAATTATATTTTTGTAACTTACGTAAGGGAGATATAGAAAGAAGAATTTTGATTTTTTTCCCCATGTCATTAGCTTACAAACAAAAAATAGATGACTTTGGAATGTGTAAATACCATTTAATTCATGTATTTTGTTACTTTTATTCTACAGTGTAAAGGTAACAACCCTCTGAATGAGCTTTAATATTCCAAGGTTTTCATAATGAAATACATATGGAAATCAACAGAAAATAAATCTTAAAAACATGAAATTAAGGTTGTTGTTGATTTTTTTTTTCTTTTTAACCCTGTCATCTACCATGGACTTTAACGTTTTTAACTTATCTTGAGCGGAGATGTATTGAAAATAAAAGTATGATGCATTTATTGGACTTTTATGAGAAACACTGTTTTCAGCGGTTGACGGTTTATTTGGACATTTAAACCTGTATTGTACGGAGGTATAGAATTGATAATTGATAAAAAAAAAACCTTTCTAAAGGTCATAGGTATTGTGTTACAGGCACTTATATGTGAGCTGAGAGTTTAGGGTAAATTGTCATAGTATAAAGTTAAGACATCAACTGTAAAAGTCAGGACTCCTCGTAAAAGTACAGTAGTAGCCCAAGAAAGTAAAACAACAGATTCCAATTCAAAATTATGCAATCTAAAAATAAAAATAAGACAGTTATTTCTTAAAAATTACATGCTATTGTTTCCGCCAATCTAGGCGCAAGAAACCCCACTTCTAATCTTTATTTTTCCTGCCCTGCATGGGATTTTTTTAACCGCGCCTATAGATGAACAAGTACATTGATGAAGAAATGAAGTACATTAACTATATGTACACAGGGAAAAGTGGCTCGCATGATTTTCATACGATTGCCTTTTCGCATGAATTTCGTGCGAAAATCATATAAAAACCATACGAAAAGTTCCACATGCGAATTTCATGCGAATGTCCTCATATAATATTTATGCGAAATTCATGCGATTTTCATGTGACTGAAATTTCGCATGATATTCATGCAAATTCCAAATTATCAGTTTTTCATGTAAAAATCGTGCGAAATTCGCATAAATATTATGCGATATTCATATACACAAGAGAAAAGCAATGAACAAAGAAATTGAACATTTCAATATTTATTTAGGTTTTTCTGCCACATCAAGTGATAAAAATTGCCAGTCTCTGATATCATATTGCTTGGATGTTCCTTGGTAATCCATTGACTTTAATGATTGTTGTGTTTACAGGCAGTTTTTCAGTACGTCTTTCTTTCAGTCTAATTGTGTCCTGGCAAGTGTTTCCTACAAAGATTATCAATTAATTAATTAATTAATTATTCAATTATTATATTAATTATTATAAAATACTATTACCCATACTAATATTTCAATTGTTTAGGTCAAAGGGACCAATTCCTAGATTAGGATGACATTAAATACAATAAATTCAATGATATCACTTGAAAAGTCCATGTTTTGGCAACTTGAATTACTGAGTACCGTATAATCCCTATTAACCGCCCCTGCCCTTATTAGCGCCCCTTGGGTATTTTTCAATTGTCAGGAAATAAGGGCCCCCTGTACAGTGATTAAAATCCTCTAGAATCAAATTAAAAAATGAAAGTGAAAATAAAACTTGTCTATAGATTAACCTATTTCTCAGTGAAAAAATGAATATTAATTTAGCATTTTGGTGAATTATCTTCACTTTAAGTAAAGTTAGAAATTATTTTAGTGGTTCTTTGTATTCATTTTTTATTTTCAAAGGATTTTAAAGTTAAAATATGACATTAAATATCATAAAGACTATACCAAAATAACCGCCCACTTTTTGCAATTTTCTAAGCGCCCGGGGCGGTTAATAGGGATTATACGGTATGTTAAATGGTACTATAGTTTAGAGCGAAACAGAAAAGACCATGTGTTTAACAGATTCATAACTGCATATTAGACTTTAAAGGGATGTGTCAGACACCATACAGTGTGTTATTGACCTAGCGACTCTATATATCGGGCTGCTATTGAACCATTAATGAGATAAAAATTTTCATTTTAATTGTGATGTTCCAATTGGACGACAATAAACATGTAATTGATGAATTTTTATATATTACAGAAAACAGTAAAATACTGCAAAGATTGATTTTTTTAAAATCTGCACAGAATAATTAAAATACCTCAACTGTGAATAAATCAAATGCAATATTTAGTTACACTTTTTTTGCATGGACCTCAAATTAATCCCCTAGAAGATTGAACCTTTTGTTTGACCTATGTCTAAATTATTTTATGGGATACACTTGGTCTATAAAAGTTGTGTTTACATGTGTCAGAACAAAAACACTGTCTGTGTGTTGTGTTCTGACACATATGTAGAAACTTGTAATGACAATTAGTTTAAATAAAAATAACCTTAAATTACTTACTCAAAATTTAGTAAACCTTCATATAGATGGTCACTAAGCATAAAAAGGACCAGTCGATTCACCTGACTGCGTTACGTAGAACCTGAAATGAGAACGCAATCCAAATTTACTCTGAAAGATTTCGTTGCAAGTTGAATTATCAATAAAAATGTGCATTATAACCACAAAATATGACAAAAAATCAACAAAGCATACATATTTACCATTGTTTCAAAGAAGTATATCACAATCAGCCAAAAGGAAAGTCTAGAACAAACCATAGAAAGGAGCTCTTGCTGACTCGGATTTTTTTTTCTGTAACAGGAAGTGCAAGTAGAACCTGGCTAATCGGTTTCGTATTCATCCAAGAATCGGGAAATACCTTAATCTTTGTAATATTTGTCTTCAAATTTTTATCTTAAAAATGCATCTCCACTTCAAAGACGAACGCAGATGACTAAGTGATATAAATTTACTTTATGGAACCAAAGCTAATTCTTTTATGGAATGCCGTAAGACACAAATTACGCCATCATGCGACTTAGAAAGCAGAAAGAAAGAAAGAAAGAGCAGAATGTTTTCAACTCCATATTTTCTGTAAGTTTGTAAGATTCTCATCTTCTTTTTATATCAGACGGATGTAATAACTTTATTTAAGAAATAAACAACGTTATTTAGTGAACATGGCGTTATGAATAGCAATTGCTCTGCTGGCATATTCCATGATGCGCGCTAGCGCATCATGGAAAATATGCCAGCAGAGCTATTGCTATTCATCACGTCATGTTCACTAAATAACGTTGTTTATTACTTATATTTGCATTCTTTGATGTTGTCAAGAATATCAGAGGAAATCCTGACTTACATAGGGACGTAGCTTCTTCTGTCTTCAGTAAAGAAAACACATACGGCTTTAAAGTCAGTACACCTGATCAATACTCCTTTTCTCTAATAAATCACAATTTTAAAAATATTTCCCTCTCTAACACAGTTATCTGGATACAAGCAGCGCCGTCATCACATTCTCTTAATTTTTGTTTTGATGCAGTCGTGACGTCATCGATCAACGTTATTGACAAAAATCAATTATTTAACACTATGATAAAAATGAGAATGATTTTATAATGATTATTACTCCAGTATGCTTTTCTGTGATTTTTTTGGTACTTTTTTCTATTTATTTTTTCTTGAAATAGATATAGATCTACTAGTTAAAGAGATTTTCTCTTTCTGTATGTTATTACCCAAGTGTGAAGAGTTATCGTTCTTTGTACAAGTATGCATGATACGAAAAAATAAAAATATGGAGTTCTATTCAATTTTTAAAAAGTTTTAAATTACAATTTAATACATTGACCAAAACTAAATTTTTAAAGATATAAAACAGCAATTTCAAATTGTTCTGAATTCCCTTTTTTCCAAAAAATATCATTAAACACTTTTTTTTAGTCCTTTTACGAAACATTTCATATATATACTTCTCAACACGCTTTATAATTGTAGTAGAGCTTGTTCTACAAGAGTGAGATAGAGCAATTGCACTCATAGCAGTGGCAATTGCATCTATAGTGCTATGAACGCAGTTGATGGCTACATGTTCATAGTGAGAGAGGGCAGTGTATATGCAAATATTTGGGAATATTTGTTGACAGCTTAACAACAGATATATGAGATTCAAGTGGATCTAACATTATCTATGGTAACGCATAACGTTATGACTTATGTGTTGAAAATGAAAGATGGGCCTAGTACAGGTTCTCTGCTTTTCTTACAATATTATTGGCCTATTGATAGGCCTAATGTTTTAATGTGTTTTTAATTGCTGTTGCATTGGGATCTAGTATATAAAATTAAACTGCAGCAATCAAATAACACACGTAGCATTTGGGGGGGGGGGGGGTTGTAGATAGAATGTTGATGTTCTATCGTTAAAATGATAAAAATTAATGTCCTGCGTACCCGATGAGGGCTTAAGATTATTCTAACTACGGTGGTAAATTGCAACCCTCCCTAAAGGAATAAGAAGAATTAAGTTCCAAATTTTTGTTTGTTTGTGTTTTTACCATAGAAAATGTTCAGTGAAAAGCTAATGTTGTAGGATAGGATTCTGAGGTTCTGAGATCAATATTTTCCTTTCTTTTTCAAAAATTTTTTAGGTAATCCATACAAATATTTTTTCCTAGTTTTATATCAACCTCCTCCTTTAAAAACCATACCCCACCCGGTATCCTATTGAGTTATTTAACTACATGCAGATGTAAAATGTACATTATAATACCCCCCCCCCCTTTGAAAAAATCCTTCCACCCCTCAACAACAACAAAAATACCCCAATGTCCTGTCCACAAGTACCTGCATGTGCATTCCAAAATGTATGCAGATATAAAGAGGCTTACTTACATCTGGAATGCAAGACAGAAAGTCCTAGTCACTTCCCTAAAATGAGTCGTACTGTACATATATTTACAAAATATTTATTAATTCGAAAATATTTATTAAATGTTGTATTCTATACTCACAGGTATAATTTGCTGGTTATAAGCAGATCTATGCACGGCACTCCATTATACCACACTGATAGCTTCTCAAAGATTATAAATTTGATACATGTAAGCAGGTAAGAAAAAAAATCTAAGAGAGAAATATTTTTTGCAGAGCCTGTGGTATACATTGTTTGTTATTACGTGTATAACAATCAATAACAATTTTGTTATTACGTGTATAACAATTTTGTTATTACATGTATACATGTAGCAAAACCTTAACCATTCAGCTTATATTTGCTTATCTTGCATTTCTTTAATGTAAATACATGTATATAATCTTCGTTAATTTATAGAATACATGTTTTTAATTTAAATAAAGTGACAAAGAGATAATGAACTAAATGTTATTGAACCTACAGTACCTGACATTTTTTAGTTTCTCTGTATAGGCACAGTTACTTGTCATCACAAGGATCAGATTTCAAGTACCAGAGTAGTCCTAACTCCCAAATTTTCCCAATTTGTCAAAAGTACATGTAAGTATTTTATAATATTTTTTGTTAGCTCACCTGAGCCGAAGGCTCAAGTGAGCTTTTCTGATCAAAGTTTGTCCATTGTCTGTCTGTCGTCGTTGTTGTTGTCATTAACTTTTCACATTTTCGACTTCTTCTCAAGAACCAGTGGGCCAAATTCAACCACACTTGGCACAAAGTATCTTTAGGTGAAGAGGATTCAAGTTACTTCAAATGAATGGCCATGCCATATCAAAGGGGAGATAATTCAGAAATAATGAAAATTTGATGGTATGATTTAAAAATCTTCTTCTCAAGAACCACTGTGCCAGGAAAGATGAATCTTACAGAGAAGCATCCTCAGGTAGTGTAGATTCAAGTTTATTCAAATCATGACCCCCAGGGGAAGGGCGGGTCCACAATGGCCAATCAAAGTTTTACATAGAAACCCTTTGGGCTTTATGGAATTTAATCTCGTGACCAATTATGACTAAGCTGGGAATATTTCATTGAATTTTTCTCACCTAAGCCAGAAGCTTAAGTTAGCCCTTTTTATGCCCCAGTAAACAAAGTGTTGGGGTACAGTTTATAGTTTTTGTCGTGTCCGTCTGTCTGTCTGTCTCTCTGTCTGTCTGTTTGTCCTCAAAAACTTTAACCTTGCCCATAACTTTTGATTTATTGGAGCCATGACTTTCATATTTCACATGTTTATTCCTTGTGACAAGACCTTTCTTTGGGTACTACCAAATTTGACCTCTTGACCTTGGAGTTTGACTCACTTTTACATGATAATTTTACACTTTTACTTTGGCCATATCTTTTGAACAGTAGACACCAGGACATTTATACTTCACATGTGTATTTTTTATTGAAAGACCTTTCACTGGATACCAACAACCTTGACCCTTTGACCTTGTAGATTTCTGTACCTGTGCAAAACTTGAACCTTGGCCATAACTTTTGAACGGTAAGGGATACGGTTTTCATACTTCACATATGTAATCCTTGTGAGAAGACCCTTCATTGGATACCAAGCACTTTGACCCTTTGACCTTGACCTTTGAGTTTGACCTACTTTAAAAAACAAGCCTTGACCATAACTTTCAAAGGGTTAGGGCTAGTGCTTTCATATTTTACATATTTAATTCTTGTGACAAGACCTTTTATCTGATAACAAGAACTTTGACCCTTTGACCTTGACCATGGAGTTTGACCTACTTTTAAAAGAAAATTAACCTTGGCCATAACTTCTGAAAGGTTAGGGCTAGGGCTTCCATACTCTACATAAGTAATTTTATGTGGCAAGACCTTTCATTGGATACCAATTAGTAACTTAGCCTGTAGGACTTGACCTTGGAGATTTTTGTACTTATTGAAAAAAAAGTTTAATAATGGCCTGCTTTCAAATTTCACAATTGCTTTCCAGTGAGAATATCCTACTTTTGGTACCTATTAATTAAATTTGCATTTAAGAAAAGTTTAATCTTTGCTATGTTGTCATACGGGGGCATCAGTGTTTAACAAACATATCCTGTTTTTGGTCAAAATTTGTCGTAAAATTTTTCATTTTGATTTCATGCATTGTTGATCGAAACTTTAAATGCATTTTATAAAAAAAAGTACAACTGTAAAAATACCAGCTTATAAAAAATTCTTAAATTTGTGAGATTCTCAATAATATGATACATTTCAGCTAGTGACACAAGAGAAGAATGTTGAGTAAATGCCAATAAAGGCTCGACTGCAGGGGTATACCTGACTTCTCGGCAATTTCTGGTTATCACCATCCGAATGACCGATTCAGAGGAGAAGACCAACTTCAAGGTGACTCTTATGCATTGGTAAGGATTGAAATTTAATTTCATTAATATGGACACTTGAGGGATGCAAGTGTCAATTTATTGTTATTTGTTTTTAGACCTATTGCTTCTCTTTTCATCAGTTGTTGTGTGTCCCATCAGTAACAAATTATCCATTACTGACTGAACCATTATCAACCAAATTTTGCATGGTAAAAGTGCTTCTTGATAGAATGCAAACAAACTAAGTACATTTAAAGTATATACTTATAATGAGTATTAAAGAGTTCCATTTCCAAAATTGTACATTACTTTGCCCCTGGGTACCCAGTAATAGGTTCTGATGTTAAAGAAGACATATAAAAAATGCAGTAATTCTTTGACAGTCATCTTTTTCTGCTCCTAGGTACTCAGCAAATAAACTTATTCATACATATATTTTTTTATCCTATGTTTACGCCTTTATATATGCCTATGTGACATCTTAAAGCGAGGACTGAAATGCAAGGCAAACTTAAAGGTCAAGGTCAAAAAGTCAAATTGTTAGCATCTGAAGGAAGGTTTTGTCATAAGGAATAATTTAACCTGTGAAATATGAGAATTTTAGTATTAACTGTTAAAAAGTTATGGCCTAGATTATATTTTTTAAAAGTGGGTCAAACTCTTAGGTCAAGACCAATTTTAAGGTAAAAAAACTTATTGAATGGTCTTGTCACAATGATTACAAAATAATGTGAAGTATCAGATTGATAGCACTAACTGTTCAAAATTATTAGCCTAGGTTAAAGTTTAGGGATTTTTTTTGTAAAAGTGGATCAAACCCTTATATCAAGGTCAAGAGGTCAAATTTTATAGTACCCCGATAAAGTTCTTGTTACATGAAATACACCTGTGGAATATGAAGCCATAGCCCCACCCACTCATAAGTAATGTGTTTAAAGGTTAAATATTAAGACAGAAAGATGGACATAACAGCACAAAAACAATATAAACCCAACAATCTTTGATAACAGAGGCAAAATTAGTGCATAATATTTCCATGACGGTTTAAATAGTAAAACAGATTCAAACTTATTCCTTTAAAAAGTTGAACTTTGAAGATATAAAATTCATGACTAGTCTTAATAATATCTTTAGATTTATTTCTGTTCTTTGCTTTACAGAGATCTTTCGCTGATGGACTCAAATTGTTCAGGAAAAAATCCAGCTACCACTGTGCCACAGCCACAGATTTCTGGCGTGTGTTCAGAAGGAACATAGATGCAATGGTAGGTAAATTTTGCTTTTAAATTCCCTTGCAACAGATACAAATTACATCATCAGATATAGGTCAATGAAACAGAGACAATTATCTCAAGGTTTAATTGATACCTGACACAAGATTGTTTTTAAGTTTAAAGTCATTTGCAGGAAAATTGTTTTCATTTTTTGTCAATAATTTTATACTTAAGAAACATTATAATTATACTTTTAATTATGATTTATGATGTATGATTTTGAAATCATTATAATTTATGATGTATGTTTTTTAATTTTTTAAAGATCATTTACAATGTAGGCAATATAAATTCAACCTTTTACCAAATTGAACTTAGGGGTGATATGAGATTGCTATATCTACTTTTATTCATATTTTATGTTATCTTGATAAGTAGGGAAATATTGACTTTGGAAATGCAGTTGTAAAATTCATGAATACCCAGTATTCATTACAATTATTTTCTCTTGCAGATGAAACAATCTCCAGACAGATGGGTGGCCCTTGAGCAGAGAATGTTAAAAAGAATTGAAGCATTCAATAAAGAAGATTAAGAAACAGAATGTGTCCAGTTGTTTAATTGTTCATCAAAAGAATAACTTGGATAATCATAGTGGTGCTTCCTCAAAATCTGCATGTGTTAAATTTAAGCAGTTTCAAATTAAGATTTAGATAAAGCTCATTATGTCATTTGCTGGATCAGATTTTGAGATTGTACTTATTGCATTTTTTTGAATACAGTAACAGTGAAACGTTGATGATTAGTTGTACAAATTCATATACAGATCTCAGTATTAGAATTTCCTAATACTTTTCCTCAAATGGATTAAAAGAATTGAAAGTCCAATATACTAGGAAAAATATATAAATTACATCACATGGATTTGATATGAATATAACATGATATTTACATGAAATTCATATGAAAATCTGTAAAGAAAGCAGCAAAAATATTCATATGAATTTCATGCGAATTTTTATTCGCATGATATTCGTGCGAATTTCATGTCAAAATCGCATGATATTTTCATGCGAATATCATGTGTGGTCCTTTTCGTCTCCTTTTCATGCGAAGAATTCGCACGATATTCATGCGAATTTCATATGAAGTTCATGCGAGCCACTTTTGCCTGTGTAATTTTATCTCAAACAAAAATATTGGAAACGTAAATTTTGCTTGATGAAGTAAGATACTAATAAATCACATATTTTCGAGAGGTCATGTTTGTGTGGTTTGAGTTTAAACGCTTGGTTCTTGGGGATTTGAGTTCGTGGATGAAGACTTGTTGAGTAGTTATGTATGTAACATTTTACATTTCGAGGTGGACATGGATTCGTGTGTCTCTTCATACACAGAAAACAACGAAATTAAACACCACGAAAATAAGTGATTTCATAGTATGTGTCCGATGCAGTGGTTAACTCACAGTATATAATTTCTTCGTTTTTAAATATTTGTTTATATGACTGGGCAAATTTTAACATTCCTCAAACAAAACTCCTTATTTTTGTATGTACATGGACTATAGTTACGTAAGAAAGGATAAAAGTGTATTTTCAATGTACATTTCTCAATACACAAGTTTTAGGTAATACTTCAGGAGGACTTTATCATCATGAGAGTCTCTTGAATTAGTCTGCCATCGGTCACTGTAGGATGCCATGGTGTCGACCAAAGTGCCGAGGACCAGGGACCGTTAAGGAAGGCGGAGTTACACCAGTTAAACCACCAGCCTCCTCTACGGCTACTGAGAGCAGCACAATTACCAATATATCTATCATTATCTCTATCCGGAGTGGAGAATGACATCCCAGACAGATCTAAGTAATCAGGAGAACCGGTGTCTAACATACGGTCACCTGCAAAATTAAACAAAGGGAATCACAGACAGATGTAACATAGCGTCAGCTGTAGGATTTCAATGTAATAAATTACACTAATGATTAAATTATGATTATGCTATTTTAATTGGAACTTTTAAGATGCTTAAGACGAATTGTTAGCAAAGATGAATCTTAAAATTTAGATAAATTTTGGAAACTACTGGGCATGTTAGCAAATGCTATAAATTAAAAATAATCTCATGAAATATCATTTTATTTTATTTTTTTTATAAAACTTTCTTATAGTTTTATTATACTGTACTCATATTTTTTTCACTCCGTAAAGCATCATAAAGGATAAAAAAAAATAGAAATATATAAATAAGCATGCATAAACGATGTATCCTTTCCAATGCTCTACAAGCATTCATACTTAGTCAGAAACGTACCGACATTCCTAATTTTTACTCAAATAAAATACACGGTTCCTGTCTAACGACGTTCGATCATTATATTTAAAGTCTTAAACTTTTTTTGCTAAGTATAACTTTAGATCAACATTCTTAGCTCAGTTAAAATTCAAAAATGGGGGTCAATACGCTACTTTTGGCGCTACAGTACATTTAGTATGACCTTCTTGCACTGAAATAATTGTCTTAATAAAAAAAAAAAAATTTTTAACGTTTTCTTTTCAATATTTTTATTCAATTAAGGCATGAAACAAAATGAACTCTAAGTTTGTTTAAAAAAGACACTTAGAAATTGTGACTAAGAAAAATTTTCGAATTACGTCGCATAATCAATTATTTGACCTTTCTGCACTAATAAAAAGTGATTTTTGTGGCATTGAAAATTTAGTTGGCAAGAAAATTATTTTAAAGTCTTAAACTTTTTCTGAATTTAAGCAAATAGGTCAAATTTATCTTGAATGTTTAGAAAAAAATATCAAAAGTGGGGGTATATGATGTAAATTTTCGTATATTGACATTCTTTTTTTGAATAATATCTGAAAAGAACGAGGGCGCTTTTGACTGGCATTCGGCAGGAATCTGGGCGCAATTGAAAAGTGAAAAATTTATCGACATGTCACATGAAATTTTAACATTTTTTTTTAATTTATCGAGTTCCTGTGAAACAGGAAAGGGAAATATTTTCCCGGAATTAAGCTTTGATTTGCAAAATAATAACTTGAAAATTGGCAAGATCAGACATTTGGTACAAAATGTTACATTTTTAAACACGTTTTTCTAAAAAAAAAAAAATTCTATCTCTGGGTCTTCTCTCCATGATTTTCAAACATTTTTGTGTGTATTTTAATTCAAAGAAACAAATACACATTTTTAAAATATGGAGAGAAGACCCAGAGACCACGAAAAATGAACTTTTCCCAAAGAAATCCAAATGTGTGAATGTGGTGCTTCTTTATCCTTTTATAATCACCTGTATATATGTAGCGATGATAGCTCAGTAAGTTGGGCTACCCGTTCAGTGCTCTAAGTAATAATATAGTTATTGGTTCGAGCCTTGCATGGGGCCTAATTATTTTTTTTTTCATGCAAACAACCATTTATTTTCCAGTTTCGTTTTAATTACTGTTGTATTAAAGTTTTTTTGAATAAGATATATTTTGGTTCAGTTTGGTTCTCGAGTGGAATCAATTCCAATATTCTATTCTATAATGTTCATGTACATGTGCGTATCATGCATCTATACATTAAATCTTTAAAGTTTTTTTTTTTTTTTTTTTTTTTTTTTTTTTTTTGTGAAACATTACTATGTTATAGTACCCTATAGGAAAAACGGACATAAATGATACAATCTCACAAAGTCTTTCAAACTAAACGAAAAAAAAGACCTTTACATCATATACCCCACCCCCGAATATTTGTCTCACTTTGTTGATAGAATTCATCAGAAATAATTTAATAGATATTTCAGAACCATCATAACAAATTTCACTGCAAAAAGCAGCTTTGTGTGCATCCAGGATTGAAAAAAAAAGAAATCCAAAATTAGCAGTACTGTTACAGTGTTAAGTTGAAAAAATGATCATTTTCGTCTAAAAAGCCTTCCACAACAAAATATATAGTCCCTAGCTTAAGGTAGGATTCTTCCCTGGTTTCTGACTAGATGAAACATTTCAAGTATATTTGCTTATATGTCTTATATATTTAGATGTAAGGGATTTAACAGACCATATTTGTCTTTCCTCATCACAATAGTACAACTTTAAATTGAAATGGTAAACTGCGTTTGAAAACTAGCAGGGGCTATATTTTTGGCGGAATGGTGGCGTATGAAAATATCTTAATTTCTGCCTCTCAAAATTATAAAAGAACGATAAATTTAGTTATAATTTTTACACAATCAAAGACTTGGAGAAAACGTCTACATCAACTACAGCCATGTTGATTATAAATGTAAATGAAGCCATGGTAGAAATTATTTTTCCCGCAACACATTATATACCATTCGATTTTCAAAAGAATTAGACCACTAAAATGTTGTTTTTGACTTAGTTACACCATATGATCAAATTAAAGTAAAACCTTGTAGAGCTTGAATGCAAATGAGCAATTATTCGTTGAGTTTAGAATAAATTCCGGGAAAAATTTGTCCCGTCGTTCCCGCTTTACAATTAGTGAAGGTCCAAGCTGATGTCGAGTAAAAAAAATAATGTCAATTTGGGAATTGATTTCAGAATATCTGAGAATAATAAGGAATTATGAAATGAACTTTGGTAGTAATGAAGATTGTTTATATTTGAATAGATATGGATAGAAAGTAAAATTGTAAACCATTTGATTTAAAAGAATTTTGTTGGCGGAAGTAGGTACCCCATGAAAAGAGTTCCATACCTTTATTTTTTTTCAACACCTCATTTTTTTTCTAAGCGATCTAAAGGCCTGTGGATCCGGTATAGTAATATGTTTTTATGTAAAAGGAACAGTCTTTAAACTTTTGAAATAGAAGTAGATATCACATGTTTGGCAACAGTATTTTTTTATTCTTAATGTCAAGGAAAAAGATAACGACATTGACCTGACCTTGCCTCTAATATAAAACGGTTAAATTTAATTTCACTGATACTATCACTTACTGATATTGTCTTCTTGATTATGTGAAAATTTCATTAATTTTTGAATAATAGAAATTTGAGAAGAATCCTACTACTACGATGAAATTTTCTTGTTCTAAAAGATTTTTCTAGTTTCTGTAATTAAGCTTAAGTTTCATGTTTTTAAAACAATTCTTTCTAAATTTTAGAGCTTTGCAAATAATTTTCTTTGTTTAATTTACATATCTTGATCTTTTGAATTATATCACCGGAGATTTCAGTTAATCCAAGCTAATTGGTTTTTAACACCTGTCATCGTTTGATATTGGCTAAATTATCTTTAGGCAAGTTATCATCAAAAGGGCGATAATCTGGCCCTCAAATGTTTTAAGGTTTTACTCAATCGTCAAAAGTTTTTTATCTATTTATCTTCAAATGTCATTTTCACACATGTCACATTCTAATTGTTATATATACTGTTGAATTTGTTTTGGATAATCAGTCGGAATCGGAGAGCCGTCCCGAGCACACTGACCTGTATCAAAGTTTGTCAGTTCCATATTAAAAGTTAAAACGCCGGTCGGAGTTTGTCTTGAATCTGTTTAAAACTTTATTGTCATATACATATTTTAATTGAAAAATTCAAATTTTTGTAGAGGATACTACCTTAATTCTACTTGAATTGAATTAAATCGCGGCTTTCTCATTGGATATAGTTAAATTTGCACTGCAGAATTCAGGTTTAATGTTAAAACTTAAAAAATGATGCAGAATTTTATAAATAAAGGACCTGACCAAGATACGTTCAAAATCTCGAACGTCCTTAAAATATAGGCGATATTTGGGCGAGGGTACGAAAACGTACGCGTGATAGAGGGGGAGGCCTGTCGAGCTCTCCATCAAGTTTTCGACCCGAGCCCAATTATCACTTATATTTCAAGACAGTTACCGTGTATATCGTTTATCCTACAAAATATATTTTCATCTTACCTCCAAATTGAACTTTTTTCAACCCGATTTAGACACATTTCTGCAGTAGAAACTAAGACGCCATAGCGTAAACAATGCAATATACGTCACGTCACAAGGCTTTTAGAACGTCTGAATACATACAGGAGGCTTTATAAGGACATTGACCTAATAAAACATTAGCTTTTTAGGTTACCTAACCTTTATTAGGCCAATGCAAGGGGTGGTTGCAAGATAAAAAAAATATCACTGATTATCTGCTATTCTAACTGCAAAACTTAGACAAATACTTTTTTTTACTCGCGGTGCTGATAACATTAGAAAAGTGAAGACAATCTAAGTCGATGTTGAAACACTGACAGTCAATGAGTACTGACCTGTTTACAGTCCCTGTGGAAATACTTATACAAGTGCTGACATTTACTGATAATAACTATCCCTATTGTTCTCGCTCTCTGGGAGGCTGCAGAGGTGGGAAATTGTGTGTTTGCTTTATACATTCAATTTAGAAACGGTCTTATTTTAATATTGGAAATTAAAAGTTGCAGATCACAGAAAATTTAATTGACCATTTCATTACTGATATTACTGAAATAATTCAAACGTATTCGATGATCTACATGTATGTGTGAATTTAATTTAAATAAAGTGTGAAATAATTACAATTTACATCTCCTCCTATTCATTCTAAGAAATACATTTATTGATTGTTTATTAATGTATTCCTTCGCAGCCGCTGCTAAATTTGAATAACTGTCTAAGTACGATTGTTAGCATTTTCAAATTTGTCTTTGTCAGTAATTATCTAATGTTTTCAGTAAAATGGGAATATCAGTACGTTTCTGACTTAGTAGGGATACCTATCCAGCTTTGATATTATTTTTTTAGCCCAATGACACGAAAACAATATTTTTCATGTTAAAGAAATGATGGTGCTTTGCTCTTTCGAAAATGATTAAAGGTAAGAATGATAATTAAAATTTAAGATTTTGAAAAAAAAATTATAGTAAATTACGGTTTTAACATGAAAATATCGATTGTTTGCCTTTCTTCTAAAGCCAAGAAATGGCTACCTGATATCAAAATACTATTCACGATATTTTAAAAATTCAAATGAAAATAATGAAAACAATATTGCTAAAATCGTGGATACCCAATTTCATTTATAATTAACATGCATATCAATTTTTCACCTTGTAAAATATTAAAGACATTTGTTCTTTATGACTTGAAAAATACAATGATATTAGAGGCATTTCTGAGCTTGTTGAACTAAGGGGACATATTAAATTAACTTTTTTTAATTTTTAGAATAAAGAACTGTGGCTTCTTATATATTTCTGCTGAAAGATCAGTCTAAAATTCCGAAAGCTTTAATTCATAATCATTATGTATCTTGTCTAATCTCAGATCTCAGTCTATCTCATTCAGTTGTGTATATCATTATCATGCTATTTATCTCTCTCTCTCTCTGCTATGGTAGGCTCAAATCAAACATTATACTTATTATATATTTGCCTAAAGTTCCAGATGCTGGACCTCCAAGAAATAGTTTGTAGATGTCATCTTCACCCGACACAGAAAACTGATGATAACGTTCATACAGGGTTGTACCATTTTGTAATGTGATGGAGACGTACAGGGATGAGTTACTTCCCTTAGTAAGTTGATGAATCACGTCATTCCCTTAAACATATAATTGTGGGGCAATATATGCCATTGATATATAGAAAATATTATTTATTTCAGAATCGCTGAAATGTGATGCAGCATAATATAACTAAACATTCAGAGAGATACGTGATGTGTGTCAGAGAGTACGAAATGTATTGACTTTTAATAATTTAAGGGTATATGCACTATAATTTCTGTGTTCTTGCATTCAGTGTACATGAATTAACAACAGTATATTACTGTGAAAACAACCAATAAGATATTTATATTTACTTTTCTATGTGTTCAGCTTCTACCACTTTATCGCAGAAATGTCATATTGCATTGCCAGACGTTATACTAATGTATTCTTTGTCTAGTATAAAATGATAATCTGTAAAATCATTGATAACCGAAAACCCTGGCGAAAGGATTATGTTTTTGTAAAAGAAAACAAAAAGAAGGCGAAAATGTCAATGATTATGTCGCATAATTTTGTAAATTTTCTGAATACTGTAATTTTCAGGTCTTAAACGATACTCTTAGAGACAAATTGTTTGCGGACTCAGATGTGAACAAATCCAGAAAAAATAACAATCCGTACAGGGGCCCACTCTGGATAAAGCAGTTTAAATACCAGAGGCTATGAAAATCAAAAGATGCCTTCGAATTGCAAGGAAAGAGCTTCGGTATAAATGTAAAACGAAACGACAGATGAAAGCAGCATGTTTTGCAAACAATCATTTTTTTCAAAAACATTTGTTATTCTTTAAAAAAACTTTAAAAAAAAGCAGAATTATTTCACGGATGAACACTTGAGGATTCAAACGTAATTTTAAAGACTTTCCCATGAGAAAACAAAACCGAAACCTCTTGATGTAGCTAAAGTATATGTCGTGCTCAGAGATCAACGCGAGAATTAAGAACTGTATGTTAAAGAAGATGTAAAAAAGAATTTACCAATCCAATAAGAATCATTAGGATAACCAAAACCATCTCTATACTCCGTCCATGTCCTGTCAAAACTGACTGATCCACTCGTACGTTTCTGGATTGCCTAGGGGTAAACAACAGAAATGAAAATAAAGCATTAAAATTCAAACTAATTTCTCTGCCAATTATTTTTCCTATGTGTCCCATAAGGGAAATTCTACAAGTAATTCAAGAGAGAGATAGAGAGAGAGAGAGAGAGAGAGAGAGAGAGAGAGAATCTTACTGTCCACCCTCCACTTTCTGTCTCCATATCGCAGTACACGCTCTTTTGGCTATTGTTTTCAAAGGGATATATTTCATAAACACCAGATTGCTTGTCCGTTTACATATAGATCCTTACAATTTGAACTCAGTTTGGATCCTACGAGTATAGACAGAATGATAAAACTAAGTTGATTGACACTGAGTTTAATATCAAATAGTCAAATTCCTATCATCAAATAAAAAACCCACTGATTTGTTAGATTTTTTTCACTTTTTTAAACAGTACAATAAGAAGAAACCTCAATAATTATCAATATTATAGGGTTATTGAACTTATATTGGTGAATATTGGCACGAGTTGGCTGTTCAAATACACGAGCTTGCGAGTGCATTTGAACAGCCAAGGAGTGCCATTTTCACCAATATAAGTTCAATAACTCCTTTATTATATAGTTAAAACATTTCCACATAATTCATAATAATTATTCCTACTAAAAAAACATCAAAATGATGATTTTTAAGCGGTTAGCTTCGCTAGCCGCTATATGGCATGTGTCGGCAACCGGAAACCTCCATAAGGCGCTACCTATCGGCATCGCTTTATCGCTCGTAACCTTATCCTTCTGCAACCAAAACCGGAAACTTCCACAAGGACCCACCTATCGACAGCGGTAACTTCAGCAAATGATTTGTATACTGTCGGCGTAATACGCCCCCTGGTTAGAGATTGACAATATGCTGTGAAGTCTGACTAAAGCCAGCCCCTACTATATAATTGGTACTAACGAAGTATATGCTGTGTATGAAGAGTGGCTATTATAACGATTATATCGAATTCTTATTAGTATATTAACCAAAGCATTGACAATACTTACAACACTTACTTTTAAGAACTGAGAATTTGGTCCTTATTACATGTGTATCGCGCGATAGCGATTTCTGACAACTGTTAGTTTATTTTTGAAAGTTTATTATACAGCAGGTTGGATGTTATTACATACTGCAAAAACATCAGCAAATCTCTCGATCGAGTTTGATTTTACTTGCCAAAGTATTAAGAAACACCATTTATTAAGTTAATACCTGAAAAGCGCTTTTATAAAAACACCGAACGCATCTGTAAGTTTTACACTTTTTGTAACGTTTTATGGAAACAATAGGGTTACCTCCACTATGAAACGTTTGTTTTTCTTCTCTTTTCTTCTCTGTCTAATAAACAGATTATAAAAGCTCTGCTTCCAGGGATAAATTCTCTACTCCGTCTTTGATAATTTATAACAATCGATCATAAGGGATTACTTACTATTAGTTTTGTAAAAAATAATGGAGCACTTAAAGTAGTAAAATCAATTTTGAAAAAAAATGGAGAAATATATATTAATTTTAATCAGCATTGTGATCCTCTTCTAAAAATCAACCGATATTATTTTCACAGAAGAATGAGGTATGAAAAATTTTGGCAATTAGCAAAAATTTAAAATATAAATGCTTATTTATAAGTTTTGAAAATTTGATCAATTCCTAGGGAACGTATTATTAGCTGTGAAAATACTTTTAAAATTTGAATTTGTCCAATTTGTCGTTTATTGTTTTAAACGTTTGAGAAGAATAAAATTAAAATACAGGTGTTTAGAGGCACATTGATAGAAAAGAAATCAGTGTATATTGTTTAACCGACATATTGAAGAAAGTGACACTGATAACTTCTTAAGTTACACTGATTTTTAATGTACATTTGAATTTTTAAATACTAGTATTGATTGAATACACAACTTTCCTTTTCATGTTTTATTTGAGAACAATATTGCATGAAGAGTATATGATAAAACACCTTATATGTCCTTATCTAGATATTGTGCCTTATATTGTGCAAGACTTCTTTCAAATGATTCTCATATACCATTTACTTTATTCGAACATTTACTTGTTTGAAAAGTCAATAAAATATATTTCATAAAGCTTGATAATCTTGTTTACTCGCCAGTTTTCCCGTAGAAGTAGTAGTTTATAATATTACTATAAAGGAAGTATTCAGTATCTGTATCAAAATACAGAATGATTAATGATCGATTTTAGAAGAAAAGCTGACTCCTGAAAGTTCAAGAGGTGGGATCCGTTGCCTAAAAAAAGTAAGCATCCCTCGTTGACAGGTTAATTATATTGCCGCGATGAGCCTACACAACTGAATCTCTCTGATATCAATTCATTTACAAAGTCTCTCCTCAGCCATCCTTTTTTCTCTGACTAGCCAGCTGTAGATCTACACTACTCCAAATCCATTAATCTAAAGAATTTAACTTGTCATTTTTTTAGCTGTTTGTTATAGTAGGCTTTACAATTACCTAATTTCAGATTCAATGGAGAATAAAAGACAATGAAATTTTCAACATCAACATAATTTTTTTTATCCAGAGAACAATTGGATGCCATCAAGAGAGAATTTTTAAAAATGCACTTCCTGTCTTTCAAACTGAAGAAATCTCATGTTTAAATTTTGAAACATGCATTTCAATCTTATTAAAATTTATTCAAATGTTCCAAATCCGCTACCGCTTCTGAAACATCTAACATCCCATTCGGGGTCACATCAGAGCGACCTTTCAATCATGAATACATGTACAAGTAAACACAAACACTTTGGCCATGTAGATTCAAGCCTCGGTAAACAGTTCTCAAATTAATTCCACGGCTACATATCATCATTATTGATACTGTCTAACGTTGAATTAAAGTAATTTTGGAATAATTTTTCATGTATCTTCTGCAGTCTGGCATCTAAACGTGAATAATGCAAACGAAAGAGCACAAACTATACAAGATACTCCACACGTCATACATAACACAACTTTTGCAATGCATATCTTTTTGCTACAAAACTCCTCGGGTGTTTTGGTTGGGTGGTGAAAACAAGAAACCCATCTGAACTATTAGCCAGGATTTCGGAGGAACCATTTTCTTTGCCTAATCGAAGATTCACTCCTACATGACCCCAAATAGGATGTTGTTAGATGTTTGAGAAGCATTAGCTGATTCGGAACATCTAATTTTAATTAGATTGCATCCATCTGTGACATCAGTTTGGAATGTTATTGGTTTTACTATTGAGTAAAGTATTACAAAAACAGAATGTCTGGGTTTTTCTTCTTTGATGACATTAGACAAAGATATGCATACTTAAATATCATCATTTTATGCACTTTTTCGGTACATATTAGATGAAAGCATGCTAACCGCTTTTCAGTACTTTCAGTACTTTGATTTAGTATCGGTATTTAAATTAACGTCTGTCCTGTTAGCGTTCAATATCGCATCATTCCAATGACCCTAACGAGCGAAATGATTTGTTTATTTAGGTTTAATTGGTCTAATACGTATTATATTTTAATAAATAATTTCTTTTTTGTGTGAAAAATAAACTCATCTTACCTAGATGCCACTTCCTTTCTTTAATTTAGCTCTGAGAATTTGAACAGACGACTATTTTTGTTTACAACGGGGCGTTCGATATTGAACGCTCGTATTCGGAATGTTTCGGGCATACTCATATTCATAATACAAAGTTAGCGTTCAATAAAACGTCAAGATATTGAACGTTAAAATTCTCTAGATTTTTGGTAGTATTTTATTACAGACTATTCATTAGCTATATAAGAAACGAACATACCGGTTTGTCTGTTTAGAGATGATATATGTACGTATTTACATTTGCAAATATTATCCTTATATAAAATAAATTGAACATTGCATTTTTTTTTATTTCATAGATAAGGTTTAAAAGACAAAAAGAAATTTATTTTGGTGTTATAATTGGTCCAAGTAATTCAAATTTGGCGTCATAAATTATCCTATTGATTAATGAAAGACATGGAGAAAAGGAGCAGTATTCAATCTCAAAAGTCCCCTCAAAAATAAAAAAAAAAACATTAGACGTGGGATCAGGTTCATTTAAGGAGTGAGCATCTCTTGAATTGTCTGCCAGTCAAGCCTTTGTCATGCTCGAGATTAACGGCAAAATCAGTCAAAAATTAGTGTGTAAACAATGATGCAAAACAAAAATGAAAAACATTAGTCAGCATTTGACTTAATGATAAAATGTTTTTTCTGACAAGATTATTGAATGGAGCACAGAACTGGCAAAATGGTGAATTTAAACGAGACTGTTGATTTTTTTTTCTTCAGTGTGTTTGTCGATCACTTAAAGTTTTGTTCAGTCATATAAATGCTCTCGCGAATAATATTAATGGAGAGATATAAACCCAATATGCAAGAGAAAAGGGGGCATTGGCGAAGTAGTAAGGAACGTTGACTATTGGAAAAATAAATTCAACAACTCTTTCATGAATTTTTGTGGTTACATTACTTTCCATGTCTATATGTTATATGTACATGAAACAGACTCTGTGATATCTTTTAATTCGTGCTCACTGGGATATTTCATGAAAAAAATACGGAAACTGGAAAACAATCTAAAAAATTCGAGTTGAATGCCACAACGGTAGTCTTTCTTTTCTCATATCAAATTTTGAACAAATTCTGCTTCATATGAATAAAGAAATGAATCAACTACTAACGAAGTGCAATTGATACCCATGGGAATTCAAACATATTGGTCGAATACATTGTCTCTAAATGTCAGATAGATTTTTCAACCAAAAACTCAAAGTATCTTTTAAATATAAAGTTTAGGCTACTTGGGTGTACAATCAAAACTTTTTATATAAAAAAAATAAACCTAATAAGTGCATAAAGACAATATAGATACACTTAAGATCTTCATTTTTATTGAAAACAATCAGTTGTCAATGATGTCAAAAAGCCAAATGTATAGTTGAAACATCTGTTACCATTTATGATTTTGATATTTAATAATTTAATGCCATTTGTTTTTATCGACATGTTGTCAAGTTTCCTCCATTAGAGTGGAACGTAAGATAACAAATAATCTTATACGAAAGATTAATACACAAACAGGCAGTTCCCTAAATCGTAACTTTTGTAAATAACCTACTTTATTCCGGCATTGTTAACACTAGCATAATCCTCCAACTGACATAACTCCAATTCCCGCGAATCTCGCTTTGTTTTTAAATACATCGAGATCGCATAGCACAATAAACTTCCGGTTGAGGTCTAATTGCGGGAAAGGGGTGCGGACCGTACGTCATTTCACTAGCAACGTAATGTAATATAAACAGATGACAGCTGTCATCTGCAGATTTGCTCACTTGCCTAAATATGACAAGGACGGAGAAATATAATGCAAACCCAAAGCAGATGGTCCCCTATTTGGGAAAATTTTATATGGGATATTTAATCCCATTCTTATTGATTTCTTAGAAAGAATTTGTTTATATAATTTATTACAGTTCTACAACCCATCCTTGACAAATTAATTTATTTTAATAAAGATTTATATAAAAGTTATTTGGTATTATAATTTCTATCTGATATACAGACTTGAAAGACCCACAGTTACTTTAACGCAAAACATATTAAAAAGGGTAAAAAAAAAAACGTCACACTGCAATCGTGTTTATTATATTGATTTGGGAGGGGGGTTGTTTTTAATATCCGTCAAAAGTTCAAATACTGAATGTTCTCATTATTCCATATTAACATTTGTTTACACTTTCCTTTATTTAACACTTCTGAAAGCAATACGTATCTATAAGTGTATAAATATTGGTACGGGGTTAAGAAATCATAGAAGTGGGTATGGATAAACTCTTGACGTAATTTTTCAGTGACGTCTTAAAGGGTCGACGCGTGTTCAGTGGATTATATACATGCCGTCGGGTTTGAAAAATAATGCATTTCACACGTTAAAAACCATAATCAGGTAAATAAAAAGTATGAATGTCTAAATGTAAACATAAGTAATAAGGTATCATTTTAAAACATCTATTGGGCTATAAATATGGGTTGGTACGAGAATAAATTCATCATAAAGCCCTTCAAGCTTAATGGAATTTAATCTTGTGACCAACCCGTATTTATATCCCTACAGATGTGCAATCATACTTCATTTCATTACTTAAATAATAATAAGGAAAAAGGTATTTATTTTATTATTTTTGTTCGTTCTGAAAATCAAAACCTAACCATATGCAACTTGAGTGAGTTATAAAATTATTATCGTCGCGCAGGGGGAATAAGGAAGCATACAAAATATTCTACCTTGACTAATTCAGTGCTACATTATGACGTCATAGTAGGCGAGATGACGTCAATTCTAGAACACAAGTTTTCGTAATATCGGTATTTAGAGACGTAATTTAACTAAAGAAAATATATTGAAACATGTAAACATTAACAAAAATGAAATGTTCTTATTTTGTTATGCTGTATTCTATCATTTTGATTAAAATCTACCAGCGATGACGTCATATTTGTACATCGAGTAACTTTGGAATTGATCATGTCGTGTAAAGAGAATTTGGCTGAGATGGCATGTACAAAGAAAAGAAAAATGGAGTTTAAAAGCAAATATTGTGAATATTTTTTGAAATTCATATGGAGTTAAGTAAATAAAGCATGTATGCTTATTTATTTTCATCGATTATATTCTCTTTAGAAGACAGTCAGCTATATACATATCCCGGTCGGCCTTTCCTCTGTCATTTCTGACAAAAATAATGCAACAGAACAACAATAAGCTGTATATTTCAAAACATAAGATTTGTACCGATGGAAAGTTTGCCTCCTAAAATACTTGAAAAGTGCTGCTAGAATCCCGAATTAAGCATGTTTTTACATGTACGAAAATTCTTGGTTCATATGTAAAAAATTCAAAATATCGGGTAAGGTTTCGTGCAAATGTGTGGATTAATTATTTTACTGACGGGACAGTGGGATTCTAGCAGCACTTTTTAGGCAAAATAGATGTTTTTCAACTACATTATTTACTCAAAGAAAGTTTTAAACTCCGGGGTATTGTTGTTCTGTTAGCTTTTTATTAAAGAAAATTTCGCTATTAATAAAAGTCACGTGATGCCGTGGTGATGTTGCACGTCGTTGCGTTAGACACTCTTTAATCTTTATGCAATAAACAATAATAGTTTATGTTCATCAGCGATTTTGGTAAATTATCAAACTTAATTTTCCTTAAAAAGTCTAAATTTCCTGAAAAATGACTTGTATGCTTCCTTAACATACCCGCACGGCTGCATGTTGTCCAGGTATGTGTTTTCCCTGAGTAACAAAGTGAATGACAATGGACCAGTAAAATTATGCACACAATGTCATCAATGACAATACCCGGTAAAAAAAAACCCCACACATACGTGTGTTCAAATTAAATGTTTGTAATATACAAACCTTTTGGTGTAAGGTTTGTCAGCAAATCCTTAATTTCCCTATAACCCCGCCGCAGTTCAAACACTTCTTGTTGAAGTTTAGTCGTCGAAAGGTTTGTTACCAAATCTTTGAGTTCCACATTTTCCTTCCGTAGTTCATCCACTTCGTGCTGAATCTTTTTCATCTCGTCCAGAAGAGCAGAAAGTGTTCCAATATTCTCTTCATTACGGTTGCAGTCGTTTCTTTCATTCAAATAAATATACTGGGAACTGGCACATATGAAGCCGGACATGAAGAAAACTGCCCACACTTTTTTCATGATTCAATTTTCTTGTTTTCTTAATTCAAGCGTTACTTGGAAATACTCCAAAGTTTAAATACCTGCTGAGCAGGAAGTATATAGCTCTACTCTTGACAAAAGGATCGTTTGACAGTGATTTAAATAAACCAGAATCGTCCATTCATTTGAAACTATTTAAAATGTTTTAGTGGGTAGACTAAAGAGCTATACACGCTTGAAAAACACCTTCATAATAACATACTTTTTTTTTTTACTATTATTGTAATTTTTTTTTTTTTTTTTTTTTTTTGCAAATGCCATTTTTTTAATTATTATTATTTTATTAATTTATAAAGTGCAAAATTACATAAACTAGTAGTTTGTATACGCTTTACAATACTTATAAATGATTTTGTTAAGATATGAATAAAAGCATGTGAAGTGTTATTGAAAGAAAATGATCGATAAAACAAAGAAATACCTTTAAAACATGATAATAACAGGAAATTGGTTAATTTACACTAGGCAAGATAAAGCAGTGACACGAAGGGCAGAGACTGAAGTTGGGTTTGCGAGATATTTCACCTGGTCCCAGGATTATGAAATGGGCTTGGACTTAAGGTCGGGATCTAGTAAATGTCAGTAGACTAGCTCTTTGGTGCTAGATCCATTATGATGTCATAATCACTTTCAAGTTTTTTCCGTACTTTACGGCTATAATAGATTTACAGTAAATCAAAGTTTTTGCCAAAGTTTTTCAAAGTGTCAAAGTTTTAGATAAAGTTTCTCAAAGTGTCTAAGTTTTAGATAAAGTTTTTCAAAGTGTCTCAGTTTTTGCCAAAGTTTTTCTAAGTATCAAGTTTCGGATAAAGTTTTTCAAAGTATCAAAGTTTTCAATAAAGTTTTTCAAAGTATCAAGGTGTCAACGTTTTGCCAAAGTTTTTCAAAGTACCAAGTTTTTTAAAAACTTTTTCAAAGGATCAAAGTTTTTGATACAGTTTTTCAAAGTGTCAAAGTTTTCGCAGAAGTTTTTTTCAAAATATCAAAATTTTGATGAACCTTTTCAAAATGTCAACGTTTTGAATATTCTTTTTCAAAGTGTCAATGTTTTCGATAAAGTTTTTCAAAGTGTCAAAGTTATCAGTATAGTAAATCAAAGCTTTCAAAGTATCAAAGTTATAATTATACTTAACTACAGTAAGATAAAGTTAACACTATATATAGTTAATAATAGTATTTTTTGTTAGGGAGGTACGTGACATGAAACAGAACCTTGTATACGATGATTTATATAGTGTTTTCTATGAAGGAGATTTTAAATTGACTGTCTGCAAAAATCAAGACTTCTTGGGAATTTTAGCGATAAATTGACACTTTTTTGTAATATCTGAAAATTTACATCATATACATATATACATCATATACCCCCACTTTTGATGTTATTTTCTAAAAATTCCAGATAACTTTGACCTATTTGCTTAAATTCAGAAAAAGTTTAAGACTTTATAATAAATTTCTTACTTATTAAATTTTCAATACCAGAAAAAACAATTTATTAGTGCAGAAAGGTCAAATAATTGATTATGCAAACAAAGTTGAAACATTTTCTTAGTCACAATTAAAAAGTGTCTTTTTTAAAAACAGACTTAGAGTTTATTTTGTTTCATGCTTTAATTGGATAAAAATATTGGAAGGAAAATGTTGAAGATGTAACTGTTAATTAAGACACAAATTTCAGTGCAAAAAGGTCATATTAAATGTGCTGTAGCGCCAAACGAAGCATATTGACCCCCATTTTTTGATTTGAATTTTAATTTAGCTATGTATGTAGAAACTAAAAATATGCTTGGCAAAAAAAGTTTAAGACCTTAAATATCAGAATCGAACGTCTTTTGATTTCATTAAGTGCATGGTAGAAAAGTTGTCCTGGATAGGAAATTGGCATTTCAAAGTGTATCAGACGGACAGACCTACAGGTGGACGGAGGTACGTACAGACGGATAGATGGACAAACACCCCATCACTATATACCCTTCCCACTCTGGGACTGCTTTTCAAGCGGGGGTATAATAAGTCAGTTAAAAATGAGAAAACTACGAAGAATGAATATCTTTTATAGTATTTATAATGGATATTCAGAACTAGTAAAATGACAACACGAAAATCTTCCGATATCTGCTAGTGTTCTTAATATTTATATAGACAAGCTTAAGGAGGTATAGAATTGATAATATATAAATTCAAAAAACTTTCAAATGGTCATACATGTAGTAATTGTGTTATGGGTACTTACATGTGAATACTGAGAGTTTAGGGTAGAATGGTTGTCGTTTTCTTCAAGGACAACTTATATGTGCATTGAAATAATCTATTATTTTCGTTGAATTAAATGTTGAGTTATATTCACATCGTAGAAGAGCTTCCGTACATTGTCCTAGTGTAAAAGTAAGCCGTCAAATGTAAAAGTAAGCGCTCTTCGGAAAAGTCAGGTAGTAGATAAAGAAAGCAAAACCGCAGATTCCAATTCAAAAGTATGGCTAGAGAAACACCAAAAATCTATTTTGTATATCGTCAATAGGTCTTACGTATGCACAGAGTGCACCTGTATCTTGCAACACTGGAGTGACCCAGTTATATCTCTTAAAGCAATAACTACAACACCCCTACTAATTTTATTGTTATTTAAATTTTAAGGTCACGGTGTAAGTTGACTTATCCAAAAGTTAAAGGGTAGAACCAGTTTTTTTAAAATTAAATTTGCAGGAAACATAAAATTGCTAATATAATGTACACCGGCTACCTTGGGATACCTTATATGGCTATTGTTACATGTATTTATGCGTAGAACGGATCTTTCAAAGATCCAAAGACAAAGAGCACACATGTACAACAGATGAGACCGGTCGATAGAAAATGCGCATTCCCTCATTGCTCTTGATCAAATTTCTGATGAAGAAGAGGTCGATCCGTGTTAGCTCTGCTGCTCTGAACCTGTGAAGTATTGAAGGCACTTTAGATTTCTAATACCGTTCTAAGCTTCCATATTTTTAATATCATCCATATATATTATATGCATGTACGCATTTCAGGTTTTTGTGTGATAAAATTGAATAAAAGTAAATCTGAGTATGACCATCAGTATATAGATAGAGAGGTAATACTGCTAGTTCAAAAATTAGCTCTGATTGTTGACTACCGGGAACTTTATGTAGAGTTCATGAACTATAAGTAATCTCTTTGTTATCCCTGTTATTATATGACAAATAACAACAATACATTATAGATTATAAAAAGATCAGTATATTAATATTAGATAAATTACATCATTGGCTAGTACTTGTATGCATTTTGTCCAATATTTCATGAAGATTAGAAAAATATTCAATATATATTACATTTGATTTTCCTTAAGTAGTTCTCTCAGAATAGATATAATATTACATGTATCTTTTTTTCAATCAACATCATATAACTATCAGTGTTGTTTTATCATCATTACAGTCTCCTTTACTTCACTGCCATCCGTCACTGTAGGATACCACGGATCGATCCAGGATCCCGGGGACCAGGGACCATTAAGGAAAGCATGATGACAAAAATTAAACCACCAGCCTCCTCTCCTAATAGCACAGTTCCCCCCACTGGCCCTGTCGTTATCCTTATCTAGAGTAGTGAATGACATCCCAGACAGATTGAATCGAGTACTCCCAGAGTCTAACATGCTGTCACCTGTAGATTGTAAATGTTTTATGGTGAATAAAATACAACCATGTTCTAATATTGTCAATCTTATTTTTAACAGTGATATATTGTGAATTTTTTATTGAATGAATGTGAAATTCATTCACGGACATTTAATTTCAACTTTTATATGGCCTATGATCGTTTAAAAAACGTAATGGGATGCATAGGCACTTTACAAAAGTACTGAAAAGTAGAGGACTGTGTTTTTTCCCCTGCGATTTAATGGTTATTTTTAATTATTATTGGGGTACTGTTTGGCTTTAAATTATCAAACTTTGTAACTTTATGCATCTTTGGTACTATGAGTCTACTGAAAAGTATTTGATTATGACATTCTTTTCAATTTTTATGGTTATAATTAAATACTATAAAAATTGATTGGTTTAGAATCATCAAATTTTGTCACTTTATGCATTTTGAGTCCTCAAAATAAGTCGATTGAAAGGTAAATCAACATAACGTACTTTTGATATTTCAGATCTTATTTAAATATTCCTTGTAATTGTAGGTTTACACTTCCTTTCTTCATAGGTCCCAAGATCCACAAGATCCTCGCGCTTATTGGAATTTGACGGAACATTTACGTCACTCAAGTGTTAAGGGTTGAAGTCTTGCACAATATTTGACTAAATGGGATTGTCTTGCATCTGCACAGGAGATTTTGTCTGAATTTAACGTCTTACTCCTTGCAAACAATCTGAGAGATTAAGGCCAGTGACTCTTTCTGTTAGATAAATTTAGAAATTTAGTTGCGTCTGTAATTTTTGCTGATCAAAATTCAGCTTCATTGGTATTTCGTTGGTTTGGTTACATGGAAGAAAGATAATGACACTAAGCATGGGCAACATGCGCTTCGTTTACAATTGTTTTTTTTTTTGTCGATATTTCAAATGAATAAACATATTTATCATTTTTTTTAAGAGAAAGAGGTGAAAAAATAAATTAGTGAATTCGATTTGGGTGTCAAAAAGGCCAAAAAAACTCGTATTTTCATATTTTTTGATCGCTCACACAGTGTTACATACTGATAATATTGTTGTCGCCTTCGGCGACACTACAATTTAGCGCGTTTTTATGGGGATCGGTAAAGTAAAGTCCTTCTCAAACTCTGTTAGTTGGTACATTATGACCTTGCCGCCAGATCCCTCTGTTTTCTAGTGTGCCCTTCCGTTACGAATTTCCTGGATCGGCCCCTGTTAGTCTCTCTCTCTCTCTATTTCCCTATCTATTTCTTTCTCTCCTATATAGGTACAAATCAAACAATCTTATTAATTACTTGCCTAAAGTCCCGGTAGCTGGTCCTCCTAGAAAAAGTTTGTAGTTCCTCACCAGA